TGTCAATTTACTTTTTTCGACGATCAGAACTTGTTATCAAAAATAAGTTTACTTAAAAAAAACAAAAATAAATAAGCAAAGCGGGTTAAATCAAAAGAAAAATGCGGGTTTGCCGATAAAAACAGACTTAGACCAGATGAAAGCACGTATTTGCGGATAAAATCGGATGAATGCAGACAAAGACAAAATGCGGGCAACCGCGGATAAAATCAGAAAGTATAATAACGTCAATGCCGGACGTTTGCGAAAGATATTCATCTGGTGTTGCAGGTAAAATCGTGACTTGACGGGTAAAATCTGATATGACATAAGTATGAGTATAAGAGACGTATAACCAGACCCATTGCCTCATCGCTCCCGGGCCCCGCATAGGCCTCTTTTTCCTTGCGCCGATTTTCATTCGCCACTTCACCCGTGTTTGCTGGTTGCGAATGTCCATTGCGTCCCGTACTGTCTCCTAATTAGGGCTCGAAAGCGAATAGTTTTAGTAGCCATTCCCGGGTTCGCCGAGCCGATGCTATACGCCCAGAAGGGTCATGAAGGAGGTAGGACGGGATGGATAGACAGTTTGGTATTTGGGGGACAATTACGCCGACTCCCAAACATTTGGGATTACTGTTTGGAGTTGGGGAGTTGTTAGTTCGCTGCAGGGGCCTAGTTTACTGGTCGTGGTCAACGTCTTGACCGTTATTGTCTCTGTCCGTGTCGAGTTGTTCCTGCACTTGTTATTGTCTTTTCTTTCGCTTTGCAATCCTATCTTTGTATTAAACAGTTGGTGTGCAATTGATGCGATTTGACAGTTACCGGTAGGAGGTATTATTGACTTCCACTGTATACTAATGTAATTACCAATTCCATTAGAATTCGGTTTGTGTGTTTTTATTCTGTGTTTATGTTTTCTTTAATGTTCGTTTGGATTTTAAGTGTTTATTTGGTATCGTTTCGTTTAACGTGTTTTCTTTAATTTATGGGTTTAGTCTTTGTCGTTTGTTATTGATAGATTTATTGTCCAAGTCAGCTTTCCTGTAACCGAGTTAAGAGTTGGGGCAGTTTTGTTTTGTTGTTGTTTTGTTACTATTGTCTTAATGTTACTGGTGCACTTTGTTTATTTAATTTTTTTTATTTTTTTGGTTATTTTTTCTCATGTTTAAGTGAAAAGTGCCTCATTTAGGGTTTTTCAAGGTACCTGTCATGGTGGCAAATAATATTAGGTCATGCAGATGTTTAAGGTTACTTATCGAGAATTGCAAATTGGCCTTTTCTCCCTTGGTTATCCTCTTTTGTTTGTCTCGTGAAAAGCATCCAAATGCGTGGCTAGACCGCGGTCGACCACCCGTAAGGTGTCACTCTACACCTCCACTTGAACACTTCCCTTATTTTTCTATGGTATTTTTTAGAAACGTAAAAAAAGTGTAGTCTGAAACACGTTTGGAATTGCATATTCCGCTCTCGTAAAACCGTCAAACTCCCCTTCGGCTCGTGTGACTAACTTTTCACTTATACTACATATTACGCATTGAATACGCCGTTTTTTCATATTCTAAATGGAAAGGTATTAATTAATAAAATAAACATCATCATAGTCGCCCCTTTATAATACCAAAAAATCTGACATCAGACGTCTTGACAGATAGACGTTCTAACCAAAGAATGTGTTACTTGGTTCCAACCATAAACTTTCAGTTGGCGAACTAAGGACATTCAATTTACCTTTCCATAAACTTTTAATTATTTCTGCGTATTTAACAATGAAACTTCTCTTAAATAACAAACATAGATTAAGGTAGAACATAAAGAAATTTTTACAAATACTAATGTTTTTTCATGCATTTGGGTTTTAAAACATAAACAACAAAAAGTTTGGTAACTCGCGTTACATTAAGCTTGATACCTTTTGACATAAATAAAATATAGGACTAAGGGCCGGTTTTTCAATCGTTGGTTAACTTTATCTTACGGTTAATTTCCTTAGATACTATTGTTAACACAATAGTATCTAAGAAAGTTAACCGTAAGTTAAACTTAACCAAGGATTGAAAAACCGGCCCTAAGTTATAAAGCTTGCCAACTTTACAGTTCTTAAACTTAATTTGTAAAACAAATAAATAAAGTCGTGGCTTAGAAACAAGATGCACAGTCTAATATACCATATACAATAATTTCGGATTTTTTTCATAATGTCCGCATTTTTATGAAATGCCCCATATCTACTTGGATCTAGTTATAGCCAAAGTTTAATGATACTTACACCCAGACCCGTAACTAGTGCTAGGGAAGGCGGAGCTCTCGGTTGTAAGGGGCCTCTAGGCTTAAAAAGTTAAGCAGTATATTTATAGTCCTACTCCTGAGTATATTTTCATTTCATAATTTTACTTTTGTCATAATCAGGCCAATTAACTAACATAAGTCGTTAAGGCAAGCCAGTAAAATTTGTGGTTATTGTATCGTTATTCTTAATCGGCCTGATTGGCCGATAACCACTGACGCCAGGGGCGTGCTGGCTATATCAGACCGGCCCGGGAAATTCAGAAAAATCGGCCAACTACACACGAAAAATGGGGGGTGAACAAAACCAAGTTAAAATTTTTTAAACATTTATTAATAATTTAGAACATAAAGTATAAATTAAGTTCTTGAAAAAAAACAGGCAACAAACACAACCAGACAATATTTTACACAATGCTAAAACATATAGCATTGCACTTAAAATAAAAACTAATACAAATTATCATCGCTCAGGAAACTTATAAACAATATACAATCTCGAAAAAAGAAACAAAGCTGGCAGGCTGGCATGCATGGTATGTTTAAAATAATTATGATATTTATACATAACTCAACTAAAAAAGTTTTTAATTGACCACGTGCTGCGGCATGCTGCCTACATAGCCCTCCGGCACACCGGCCCACTTAGCCCTCCGGACCACCGGCCCACCGGGATTTCTCCCGGTGTCCCGGCGGCCCAGCACGCCCCTGACTGACGCTAACGTTACCTACTTATGTTAGTAAATTGGCCTGATTATCTAAAATGGATTCTATGATTTAAGCCGCCATTTTGCAATTGTAAACAGTAACGACTCAAGTTAGTAAATTGGCCATAAACAGTCTCCTAATAAACAAAATCTATCGTAAATAAACCATCTATACGTTACACGCCTGCCATTAGGGCAGTATTTCAAATTTTAATACGATACACCACAGGGCCGGCTTTATCTATTTTGTATATTAATATTTATATTTTTGAATTAAATTTGGAAAAAAAGTAAGAATGCAAAGATATAAATTAAATGTAAACGGAATAAACACTAATTTAACAATAAAACAAATAAAGAATATACAAGGTCGGTAGCCGGTACTCGGCATGGAGAATATCCACGAATGTAGAAGGCACTTACGGCGGGTCGTGGCCGTCAACACTTCGGTACTAAAGACAAGATTCAGTACCTCACAGGGGGGAAAACAATTCTAAAGAGGTTACCAGGAACCGGAAACAGACTAGAACAGAGATTAGAAGTTCACCAACAAGGACACTGTCATCCACGACCTCCTAGGGTGAATCTACCAGCCGGCGTAAAAACTTCGGATCCAACAAACACAGGTAATGCTATGAATTGGCGGGATACGTAGGAGAACGGAAAGGGGGTAAAATAACCCTGGGAGATTAGTGTAAAATAATTTCGATGGGGCCTGCCATACGTTCCCATACTCATACTCTATTACTTTATAAGCCCTTTTTAATAGTGTACTATTAAAAAATATACTAAAAATAACTTGACTATAATAATATTATATCGGCACTAGTTTATAAACAAATAAACTACCGTCCGCAACAATATATTTTTTTTGTATATTCCTTTATTATTTTATTTAACAAAATAAACAGTTTTTCTATGCATATGAATTTATTTAAATAGTGTCAAGATATTATTGTGCTTTAGTTTTAGATCTTTTAAGTGTTTTTTTATATTTTAGAAACCTTTTTTAAAACTGATTTAAATCATTGATTAACATAAAAAAATAACTTGATTTAAATCAGGTGAACCCTGCTTACAAATGCAAAGTTCCTATAATAGTATTATTTTAATCAAAATTATTTTTATTAAAATGTCTGTAAGAAAAATTGTTTAACTTCATTTTAACTCAATAATTTTCCTAAAAAGTTTTATAGTATATTAAAAGATATTTATCAAGATTTAGGCCTAAATTTTCATATTAAACGGATCTAATTTTAATTTTTTCTTCAAACATCTTACCACTCAAAATAGATGGTGAAACTTCTGGGTGATACAAAAATCCTGATATGTTTGTTTTTTCATTTATTTTATTAGATTTTGGTAAAATATTAATAGGATTTTATTTTCTATTATACGGTATAATTTATACCTAAATTAATATTAGTTTAATTGATGTAGCATAAAAATATTTGCTAACGTAACATTTAAATTCAAAAAAGTCATGAATTAATTAAAACTTTTATTTCTAATTTACCTAATTGCATTTGAAAACAGGTAAAAAATGATGCTTTGCCTCTTTAATTTAAAGAATTAATTCTTTAAATTAAAGAGGCAAAGCATCATTTTTTACCTGTTTTCAAATTTGGATTAATATTCAATCTGAAGGCTTTTGTTACAATTTAATGCTTTTCGGAAAATTTAAGTAAACTCAACAAGATTAATGAGATTGGCTAGCTATAAAGTGGTTTAATTTTAGGAATTTCAAAAAATTGTAAAGAGAAAATCTTTTTAGAATGTCTTAAGGAATTATATATTATATTGTAATGTTTTGAAATCATTATTTTTATCTATAGTTAAAAAAAATGTTTTATTGAACTTATCTTGACCTGAATATTTTAATCAAATAAATAAAATAATAAGTTTTGGTTGACTTTTTAGAATAAAATACCTATTATACCATTATACCATTTATAAAAATAGTTTTATATATTAAATTAAATATAAGTATGATATAGTTTGTAGTTTCTGAAAAATTTAGTTTTTTACCTTGAGTTGTTCAGTTTCATTTTCTTTTTTTAATTGCAACAATCTTCTAGCAAATTTCATAACCATTTTTCTCTTTTTACCCTGTCCAGAATTCCTTACTTGTCCTGATATATTCTTAACCTTCCTGATCATTTTTCTTCCATAAAACAAAGCCTTGTCTCTTTTTCGAAATCTGCTCCCTTCTTGAGACAATGTCTCTTTTGGTATTACTTAAAATAAAATTTGCAAAATATAAATAATCTATCATGCTCCACACCCAAAAGTCCCACATTTGAATACAAATAATTGAGGGTGCCTAATGTCAGTTTAACTCTAATTTCGTCTTATTTTCTGAAAATAACACGAAGTTAAACTGACTGATAGAAAATAGTATATTATTATACGAGAGATAATGCAGGCTATTATTCACAAGGATTTGGTTGATGCGCATTATTTCGAGTGTAATAGTATGCTTTTTCTACGCCAATTAAGTTATTTTTATTAATAACAAAATGTATTATAACCTCACTTTCTCCCGATTTTAAAGATCATTTAGCCTTTCGTATATATAAAAAACGCCGTGTCTAGAGTCCCGTCAGACGGTTCCCTATTGCGCTCCCGTTAACAGAGTGACGTCATCCAATGACGCAATCTTAAGACGGGAAGCAGATCTTTTTTCCTTAACCAACGTCCCGAGTCCGCCCGCTTTGAAACCAACCCAAACCCAACAACCCAACCCAACCGACCCCGCCCCATTGGCCCCCCCGCCCCATTGAGTAAAAATTTTTCAACGAAGGAATATTCATTTAATTACATTTTATTATACAGGGTGTTATGTAATTAATGTTATATATTAAAATGGGTTGTTCCTTAGGGTCCATAAAGAAGCACCTGAAACTTTTTTTTTCTAAATTCCAAAGTCTAAAAATAATTTATAATAACCTTTATCCTACCAAAAAGTACGACACTGATCGACTAGGAACTTTAGGTTAATCTGGTGGATTTATTATGTTATGGTTGGTAACAACAGTGTTTCCAAAATCTCTCAAAAAAGTTGACAAACATTGTTTAAATTTAGCTTAATTACAAAAATGACAAAATTAACAATGCAAATTGTCAATTTGGCGTTTTTATTAATTGTTGGTTATGTCATTTTTGTACTGAAGGTAAATTCAAACAAAATCTGCCAACGTTTATGACAGAATCTAGTGCATTTCTTTTAAATTTTAGGTTATCTTTTCAAATTGTAAATATCTTAACTAAGGGAAGTGCTTTTGGATTTATTTACACAAATTAAATGTTTAAAGTTTAACCTGTGAACTGGTCCCAATTTCATCTGAGTAAACAGAGAAAAAAACTGATGTAAAAATTAATTTTGTGCTTATGGATTTCAAATTTCAAAAGTACTAAATTTTCTAATCATTGCTTAAGCTAATAGCTGGATCAGTAAATAAATACAGAAGGGTATTAGAGCTTTAAGGGCATAAAACTTTTGTATTTATTGAGTTTTTATTTATTTTTTGCAAGAAAAATTTTTAGTAACAATTTTTTACATCTGGCAACGCATAGCTACTTTGTTGGTTGATATCAATGTACTCACAAAATACAAGTGTGCAGAGATAAACCAAGTGTGTAACCAGTGGCGTATCACAAAAAATATTAAAAACTTCCAATGCATATTTTTTCTTTATCTTTGAAAAAATGTTTTTTTAAATATATTTCCTTTATTCCTTATGTCAAAAGGTATTCAGTATTTTAATATATAACATTAATTACATAACACCCTGTATAACTGTAGCAAAATGATTATGAGGAAAGGTAAATAAATTAAAATATTAATGTAAATGCTTTTAAGGCCACATTGTATTATTTCGGTATATAAATTCTTTAAAAAAAATTTAAAAAAGTTGTAGAGGCGCCAAGTATCGAACCCCGTATCTCTCGCATGCAAAACAGGCGCCCTTCTATCGAGCTACCGAGCTTATTGTAAAAATCCTATCGCTCGAAAAATAATACCGATTTACAGTGTGTGACGTCACAAAGTGTTAACGGGAGCGCAATAGAGAACCGTCTGACGGGACATTATGTATAAAAAATCTGACATCTGTTAACCTTACTTTTTTCCAATTTAAAACCCAACGTGAATATTGAGTTCATTATTCACTTTGTTAGGCAGGGCAGTTATATTGGTTACTATTATTTACGAAAAAACCCAAATAATGTAAATAATATGCAATGGGAGTAGAAAAACTCCATTATTTGTATTCAAATATCAAGAACGAACTTTAGGGTGTGGAGCACCTTAGTTAAACAAATAAGGTACCATTTTCAAATGGGCATTAAATCTACTTTAATTTTATTATTATTTTAATAAGTTTTCCAATGACCACATTAAAAACCAATGACTTTTTGTAGTAGGCTTTGTTATCTATGATTCAAACATATGCCATTTTGTTGACACTTTTTATTTTACAATATTTACTTAGTACCAGTATATTCACCTCCCACTAAATAATAATGTAAACAATACGCTAAAGAAGCATCGGGTTTTCGCAACGCGCGCGCCATCTGGTGGAGTTCGATAGCATTGTGTGAATTTAAGAATTGTCAACAATACATTTAAAGCATACGAACTGCACATAATTTTTAAATAAATAAGTAGTTTTTTCAGAAAAGAGAGAAAGGCAGAAGTCTTACCCGACAAACGCTTATATGCTTATATAGTTACGTTAGTGTGTGTATTTTATAAAATTATTGTATTTTTAATTGTAAATTGTAAAAGAACTAAATCGTTGCATTTTCATGTTTTGTCAAAGGATCCAATTCGGTAAGCATATTTGTTGGTGCAGAATAAACTAATGATAACTTTACCTAATATAATTTATATTTAAGTTTGGACATTTTTAAGAAATTTGTAAAAAATAATAGTTGCACAAACACAACCTTAAAATCGAATAATTTTATATTTAAGTCTTCTAAAAAAACGCCGATTACTGCATTTTAAACAATAAAATATACCTACGAATTCATGGCAACATAATATTATATAATACATAATATAATGTTATTCTACCGTTGAGTGGAGAATTTCCTAATTAACGGTTTTAATAATGTTAAATGCTGTTTGAATTTAGACGACTTATTTGTTTGACAATTTTTACTGAATTGAAATGTTTACACTTTTCAGGTTAATCATTATTAAAATGAGTATTTATTGTACCCAATAGGTACTACTAGGTAATTTAATTTAAAAGATAAAACTGTATAACCCTATGGACGCGTTTAGCCAGCATATAATGTAACGTAATCTAAGGTAAAGTTGGCCAACTTTTAACTTTCTTAAATTATGAAAATTAAACTGCGCTTGCGCGAAGTAATACCAACCTTGTTATGTTCTGTTTAAAACAAAAAATTTGCCATCGAATGTTTAAAGCATGGAGCCTACACAAGGAGCCCGAACTTAATAGGAAAAATTGACAAAACCTGCCCTCTAAATTGCACAAATTAAGTATTTTTTTTCACCACCAGCGGCACTGATTGTTGATGCGTACTGACGTCTGCTCTTTTGGTAGCGTTTTGGTACAAATTAGTCAATTGTTTCAGAATAAACAGTACACCAGCGCCTACTTGATTCTTGTTTACATAAAGTTTCTTGTTTAGGCTCCATGGTTTAAAGGTTAGTTACATTGTTTTCTGCTTAAAAGTTAAGATAATTATTAAGATTATTTATATTGTTTTGTGCTTAAAATCTTTGTTCTTCTTCTTCTTCTTCAATAATTGTTATTCTCTCTTTCGAGAGAATTGGACTTGAGCCAATTAGGCTTTTACTGCCCAGTTACAAGTTTTAACGTCCTTGAGCTTCTCGAAGCCATCCACTCACGGACATGTGGAATTTCAAATCTTGAAACATCCACTACATCAATTGCACAAATCACAAAATTCCTCGCTGAAAGGACAAAGCTTGCGATATTGTCGAGAAATACCGGTATATTTCTATACCGGGAACCCCATTTTATCCTTCCTGGGTCAAAGTAAACTATTTTCAGACTTTTTCATGGAGCGATGTACACACGATGAAGGATAAAATCGAACTCTTTGTATTATGCTTAAAAGTAAAAATAATTATTATTCAGTCAACCACAGTCTTGCCAACATCGGTTTCAAAAAACACCATGTACTAAATGTTTGTATAAATGGCGCAATTTGGGGCAGAGGATGGCGCAGTGGGTTAAAGCTACAGAGTAAACAATCTGCGCCACGGTACCGGGTTCGATTCCCGGTCACAGCCTTGGGTGTTGTGATTGTTTTTAAGAGCAAAAAAATATATAATAATGAGCTGGCTAAATAGTCGAAAAGACAATAAACCTTTAAAAAAATGGCACAATTTTTCTTAAATTACATTAAATTAAATTACGTATCTAACGTTACATAACATTATATTAAATGCTGGCTAAATCCACCTTTATATTTACAGGGACTGCATGCAATTTATTTCTTCATTCGAATAAACACAGTTTATCGGGAAACCGGTAAAAACTCATCCCAGGATTTCCTCTCGTCAAACACCCAACAACACAACAAATCGTGCCACGGTTTTTTTTTCGATATTTTTCGGCTTTTATTTTCAAGAACACTTGTTTGTAGCATACGCGTTTGACAGCTGATTATTAAAAGTTGTTGTTTTGTTACGATGATAACGGCCAAGTGGTGGCGCTAGTAGCGATGCTTCTTTAGCGTATGCAACTTTGACAGTTATCTGCCAAGTAAATTTAATAATAAAGGGAGGTGAATACTGCCATGTGCAATATTAAGTAATAAAGGACTAAATATCATTTTTATTGTTTTAAACAATGAAATACGGGGGTTTGACTTAGCAGGGCGGAATAAACTGGCCCTTACACAACTGCTGTCTTTTTTAAAATGATCAAAATATTGAAATATTGTTCATAGATTAAATTTTTATAAAAATTCTGATGTTTAGCATAATTTTGGTTTGAATTAAGCTTTAACATGTAGAGTGCCACAATGAAAATGCATACTGGCGGTATCTTTGTGGCCAACATTTTATTATTTATTTTTAATCCAATTTTTGTATTAGTTTCATTTAATTTAAAAACAAAATGCGATCTTGCGATATTTTGTGGCCAAAATATTTTAATACATATTTAGGATCCATTTTGGTTGATGTTTTCATTTTTCTATTATTTTATTTAAATTAATAACATGCCCA